AACACATATTCCCTTCAAATGAGTTGAAAGAGGAGCTCTGGCACTTGAGTACTGATCGGACCTGGTCCGATGTGCTCGCCGTGCATTACGCTCCTACAACAGAGGCTGGTGATAAAGTGTAAAATTCTGAATTTTCAGGATGCATTTTGTCATGCAAGCAGATGTTTGTTTAGGTTTGGAAAGACAATATGCAGGAATCTGTTTGAGACGTATTATTTAGTCATCTACGTACTTACGAGTTCATGCTACTGATTGATATTTGTTTATTTATTTATTCTTGATTCTTGCTATATTGCTAATCAATTTTTTTATTATTTTGTAGTCCTCCTTACATCCGGGTCTTCTGCAGCTTTCCGTCCGTTCCATCAACTTAGCAATGACACTTTTGTACTGTTTGATGCCTTGCGATACATCCCCCAACTCCCCGTGGCCAAGGGTAAGTCCGCCTTCTGGACGAGTTCCCATGAAAAGAGGCTGTTAAACGGAGCATGCTAAATCTGTAAAGAACACACTCATGATAAGTTTCTCAATCTGTTCTGTGCCTTACGGGTTTGGATGAGGATGGAAACTATTATTCAATATGGCCTAACGTTTCGACTGAATCGTCGTCATCAGAGGCCTGAATGTGTTTCAAGGATTAGATTGCGCTCTACTCCACCAAGCGCCTCGTCAACTCTAGCGGTTCCGACATCGTGTCAGGAACCCCTCGAGAAGACCCCAATAATGCGAAAGCCAACCCACCGACGGTTCCACCTTATTAGGGACAGTGTCCGCAGCCACACAAGAGCGACAGTTAGTTATAAATGAAGAATACCGCGCTGTCTCCGTATAGTAGAATATTGTGGAGACGCACGTAGCGCTCTGTCATTCTACAGCTCGCAGTGTTCTATGAACGGCAGAAGGTCATTTGTTATTGCAGGACACTGCCATCTCGGCTGTTTCAAATTCTGGGTTTTTTGGTGAAAATCCAGAACGCTTCTAATGCTTTTCTTGCGGAAATTTCCGTCTCATGTGCCAGCAATATGCACTTTATTTCGAACTCTACACCATTATGCTGCTCAACTTTATGCCTTCCGAGGGCTGTTGTGAGGGTACCTGCGTCATCAAAAGACCTGCAAGAATGTTCTTTGAGCGAATCGCTAGACCCTTCCTGTTTCAATCCGATATATGTGACATTAACAATGCTGGCACTGGATTTCATATAAGAAGCGTTCTGGATTTTCACCAGAAAACCCAGAATGAACAGCCGAGATGAGTGTCCTGCAATAACAAATGACCTTCTGCCGTTCATAGAACACTGCGAGCTGTCTAGAAATGACAGAGCGCTGCGCGTCTCCGATCAGTATTCTATTTATAACGGAAGACAGTCGCGTATTCTCATTTAAATAACCCTAACTGTCGCTCTGTGTGGCTGCGGACACTGTCCCTAATAAGGTGGAACCGTCGGTGGGTTGGCTTTCGCATTATTGGGGTCTTCTCGAGGGGTTCCTGACACGATGTCGGAACCGTCTTGGGGTGAAGTTGCGGCGGCGGGCGGTTAAGGAGGGGGCATAGCGGGGGTTGGGCTGATGGGTTTCCCTGTCGCTAGAGTTGACGAGGCGCTTGGTGGAGTAGAGCGCAATCTAATCCTTGAAACACATTCAGGCCTCTGATGACGACGATTCAGTCGAAACGTTAGGCCATTGAAATAAAAAATAGTTCACCTATCACCTTCGTAGGCGACAGAAACAAAGTTGAGAACTACATCTGAAATGCCGAGGTTGCAAGAAGAGAGAAGCTGGAGAACACTCATGATAATTTTTATTTTTTTCAACATCTTTGCTTCCGTAGCTCCATTCCCACTTTGAGTGACCCTTGAGATTACGACCCCCCCCCCCCTATGGGCTTCGCACAACGATGCTGTACCCTGTTGGTGGATGACAGGAAGTGGTGTCAGTCGATAAGATCCGACAAGAGCAGTTAGAATAGGCAGGCCATATTCATAGCGAGGGTGACAGCACCAGCCAGCCCTCGATCTGAGATATGATATAGAGTGTGGGCCAAAAACATCATTAGTGGATCACAAAACTGTGAGCTGCTGACGAGATTCGATAAGGAGCGCTGAAAGATTAGGTCATTGTATTCACAGCCCAGGTCACAGCATCAGCGAGCCGTGCGTTATAGCATGTGATACAGAGAGTTAGATGAGGACATCAACCGTATATGACTGGAAGCGAAAATACTACATGTTAGAGGTTGATTAAGGGACATCGCAGTCGTCTCGCGGTTTGAAGTGGTTCACGCTTCCGAAACATAGGGAATTGGTGATAAGGACATTAATGGCGGGTGACAGATATCCTTACCAATTGATAAAAACAGATAAGACACCATCTGCGCTACATTATTATGACTTTTTAGCGCTACAATGTCGAGTATTAATAGGTGTCGCGGAAGCGTTTCTCAAGGCGTCTGAGTGTTCACTCTAAACGATCACAACTTTCTTAATTCTAATCGGATTTAATCAAAATGAGCACCGTTCGGATCAGCACCTTTTCCCAATGTGACATTAGTCGATTGCTCCCATCAAGGATAGCCGGGCTCACCTGGCTTCGCCAGGCGCACATCATAACGGGAATGGAATTTGTTAATTGCCTGAGCTGCTCATATTGCGCGGCAGTCGTCGAATCATGATAGACAGAGCAATGTAGCGGATTCTGCACTCCTCAGTCCACCATGACATTTGCGGAAGGCGTGTTGGTTTTGGCCGTAACGCCCATTCTATACTTAGATCATCGAAATAGATAGGAAAACAGTCGGCGAGCGCAATATAAATATGAGTTGCACAGTAGATGAAGAAATTCCGTTTTTATTACTGCATCACACCGCCAACGATGAGCGATTGACTTGCCATTGACATGCAATCCACCTGCTAAGGCTGCATGAATGACTGCAGATGCCAATATTTGGGCTGCGTTCGTTGAATATATTACAGACTACTTCATTATTCGTTCTCATCAGTGACCGGAGACGCAACAAAGTGTGCTCAATATTTAGGATTTGATTTTTTCTAAACTCCCTGTTTCAAAGCAAAAGTACACCAAACTCACCCCGCTCGCCTTCCAACGTACATAGTAGGATAGTGGGATGAGTTCATTTTCTAGTGCTATCAGAGAAGAGATGGCTGGAGGGAAAGTTTGCTCCCACAAAGGCTTTTTACTGGCCTTATCAATTGATAAAATTACTTGTCACCCGTCATCAATGCCGCTAAACTAAAACTCCATAATTTTGTGGTGTAGAGGCTCCAGCATTTGATTGAACAGCAACTGCAACGTTCTCATAATCAGGCGTATCAAGCGTTGTGAACTTCGCTGTCTACGCCTCCGTCGCCGTCCCCACTCTTCCGCCTTTAATATTCATTTGCTGAATATCAACGCCTAACTAATGCAGTGTCCTGCGTTATTAATATGTTGACCTTTCCACTCGAAATCCCCTTATCAGCAGCTAGCAGTTCTTGTCACCCACATATTCCTGTGTCATAAAATATATCATACCTTGGAACAAACGCCCCAGTGTTCCAGTCGGACCTCCCTGCTCTGGTTCCTTCCCTTGCACATGCTCAGGTCCGGCTGAGCCCGAGCAGGGGAAGAAAGTAAGGGGAGCCACTCGTGCGCTGCCCCAGCCCCTCCCTTGCGCTCCACCAGACTCTGCCCCGCGCAGAGCACCGTCCCAGCTTGTCAGCAGCTCGTGAATGTCTCGGAGTGTACCGAATGGTTGTCTTATATAGCAGAGGCCGTTATCACAATCGAAACATTGGATTAATACTTCCGCACCGATCGGTTACCTGTTTGTCCTAGCGGTCGTTTTCGCCTCCAGCGAACTCGAACCCGTGAAGCATTTTGCGGACGGACAGACAGACATACATACATACATACATACACACACATAAACTGACAAAGTTACTGGTTTATAGAATAGAAGGAAACGTCGTTGTTCAGGAAAACATGAAGCAGGAACCTGTACGATCTCGAATCTAGAACCCATTCTATCTGCAATGAGCACAACAATTCTATTGCAGTCTACTGCAGCGAGAACGCCCGCAGCGAAAATCGCTTTTAAAGTTTGCTTCAGGCGAGAAAAATGGTCCATCAACTGCACTAATCGCACTTATATGTATTAGAGACTGAAACTTCGTAAGACTCTAAGTACACCTACCCTATTTGCTGTGGATAGAAACTGAAGGCCAAAGGCGCTGTCATGCATCTCTATGAAGCGCGCCACGCTCTCGTTTCTCATCAGGAATCGTGGCGACGTGGAAATATAAGTCTATGGAGTCTCGATCGACCCAACGCAGCCGGAACAGCCTCTTGTGCTAGCTAATGGGTTCCCCGTAAAGAAGAAAGTTTCTGCTATGTTACCTTCGTTCGCAGTAAGTTAATTTGTCATATCTTCTCAACTCGACGAGATACCGCGCTCTACAGACGGACAGAAGCAGGAGCACTGTTTCACTAATGTTGCCACTGCTTGGTTCATTGTTAACATTTGCACGTGCGACCCCGTTACCTTACCAACAAACTACATAGGGCCCTCACGATGTGAGTCGCAGAACGTGCCTCTTGTCCTGGTCCCTCCTTCTTAAGTTCGGGCGCTGTGCCAGCCTAGTTCTATTTGAGGCTGCTTGTGCGGTGGGGGCGACTGGTTTCTGAGCTGAGCAGAGTCTTAACGTGCAAGCGCAGGACAACCCCCGCATGACGAGGAATAGCGACTGTGTCTCTAGTTCGTACTCGAAAAGGGAGTCGTACTGAAGGAACAAATTATTCCCATAATCATGTATCGTGCTGTGCCTGTCTACGTGGTGGTTCGCTGTTGGCTCTGTGTAGAAGGGCTGGATATCGAGAGTGATCTTCTGTAAACTTCCTTGACTGGTGAGAACGGGCTGCGCTGCGCCAGTCTCCATACCCCTGACCCTGATACGCTGCAGCGTTCGCAGCGAATAAGACTGTACGTGTTGTTAAGAAGCTCACCTCGGTGACAATAACCGGGATGGAATACAAAGTGAGTAGTAATTTCTTCCACCATATATAATAGATTTGTTGCAGCAGTAGTTGAAACGGATCTAAAAGGTAATTAACGCCACCATTCAACTAAAAATGGTGAGAATTCACTCTTCAAGAGTAACGGCGACAGATCCATAGATATTGACGTGGACGAACTCCGAATTGTCTCCGCAACGTTTCCCGTTTCATCTTGGTCCGTTTCTATTCTCTTGCTTTTGGAATCTTCCATTTCACCGATCCTGAAAGTCTGCGACCATTTGAGAACCTTCCAAGGTACAGTCCACCCATCGCCTTAATAAAGTCCAGACATCCACAGAACATCGAAACGAAGATGGGATTCACTTCAAGAAAACAGTTTCAAGAGATCTGGTTGATAGTCCGAAGCTGTCGATTTCTAACTGCTGTTTCATTTCTTCTAGTTCCAATAACAATTTAGAAAACCTGAAGGCATGTGTACTTCCGACAGACAACTTGTCACTTTTTATGAGATTTTGATGTGAACAACAAACTAAATATTGTGGAAAGAGATTTTGGGAGCAGCTGATTCCAAAACCCACTCCATTTTTCATTTTTCATTCAGTTTTTCTCTTGCACAGCAACGACTGATCTCAAACTCGATCTATTTTACAATGGGTGACTCAAGACGGACTTGAATTCAATTCGGCTTTTTTATGTGTACGTATAAAGCTTATATGCGCTGAAAGCACTGCAAAATAATGCTCAAGGCTGTACTGAAACTTCATCAACGCGCTACCAAGAAGTGAAAGATGAAACCATTGTGCTCGCTCCCTTCATACTTTTATTCATATTTTTTCGTTCATATTTTCAGATGTGATGCTGCAGTTTTCCTGGGTGAATAGAACACCAAGAAACCAGTGCCTCAAACTTGATTTGATGACTCTTCGAAACAAAAAATGATTCGGGAATTTTGCCTTGAATTGAACACCTGGTATTTTCGTCTTTTGGTAAATGAAACTGGAGTTGTTCCCCTTTCACTTCACTTACTGTGGCACCTTCGATGTGTTCTTTGACAACCTAAATGCAGCGGACTTGCATCTTTATCAAAAAGTAATGCGTACTAGCGAACGAACCTTTTCTGTCTTTTGAATCAGTTCTTCAGGAATTTCGCGCTTGAATGCAATGGTGAGAACGTATCCAGGGGCAAACCTGATTCAGTTGTTTAAAATGTTGGGAATGCATAAGAGGCTGTCTCACAATAGACTACTTCATAGCGATAAAACCTCAGGTTATCGAGAATTACAATCATAAAATCAAGAAATGAACTTTGCTAACAACTATTTCGATATGTGTGGAGTAAGTGGATCCACGTGTCTCCGTCGTAGGATATTACTGTTGGTACAAACTATATTAGAATTCCTTAATTCCCATTGTCCAGCGTTTAGTGATTCTGATGTTTGCTCGTCACGAGTTGCTACCAATAAGTCTCAAGTACAAGGGGTCTGCATTAGCAAATGCTGATATACGGTCATGGCAAAAAGAGGACACTGCTCATTACAACCAACTTTTACATCGCACTGATAAGGTACATGGATGACAACAGGTGCAGCTACCTAAATGCCCCATGGCGTGAGTGAGCTCTCTATAAGGAAAGGAGTCGCGAGAATTCAATCCTTCCACTCGTTTAGCACATTCACTTTTCATTCCTGTACAGCAAGTAATCACCATATACTTTGACTCCAATTTTCTTATTGTGGCTGTGAAATATATATATATATATATATAAGTGTTTACTTTTTCTTCAGGAAAAAAGGACTTCCGCTGCACATAGCCCGTCCCATGCTCATGATGTACACGACATCACCCATAGCTTCAGCCTCATCCATGTAGTGCGTTGAGAGCAGAATGCACCTGCCATTTGTTCGATTAGAATAACCAGAACTCAAATGAGCCCCAATTATGAAAAATACAGCTGAATCACTTATCAACTCTCAACTCTCATTCATTCTTGAATGTTGTGCTTATTTTCTAGGCGTCCATATAGAACTATTCCAACTAAATTTGACACTGGCTCTCTAGCCTAGCTTTCGAATGAAAACGTAGTCAAGTTTGACCCGACTAGTCATACTGCGAGATTCTGCGCTTTATTCGCTTTGGTCTCCATGCGATAAGTTTGTTAGGGATGTGTTTGTTGTTCCTCACGAGATTTATAGCGCGTCGCAACATCGGGCGTTAGAGGGGGCGACAAATGAAAGCGAATGGGACGGGGAAAATGAGGATGATAGAAAGTGGTCAAAAGGGGAGATGGTAATGAAGGGGACGTACTCAAAGTGCTTAAGCAATGATGGAGTTCCAATGAGTTGTGTAATGGAGGAGAAAGGAATGCAAGGGCCTAGAGGGCAATTTCATAAAACCGGTTTGGTTGTCCTCCTCAAGCTACGCTCGATGGGATCAGTCACTGGTATTTATGTCCACTAGCGGGGGGAAATGAAACGTATTCATTAACTTCTAACTTGAACTCTGTACTTTGGTGTTTGCGCTGTAGTGTATAGTTCAGTTATATATAGTTTGGTTTATAGTTTTTGAATCTAGTCAAGGAATTCAAAGGAAGAAAGTGCACTCTCATGAACCCTTGTTACCACTCTGTTAGTCAGCCCCTCAGCCCTCTCTGTCCTACCGATCATCAATCACCACCACACATAAGATTGAGGCAGAAGTTTTGGCTACCATATATGTGAACAGCATCCCAAACCCACGGACATTGGGTCTACTATGAGAGGCTTGATCCATTTAATGGTGAGCCTTTCTGTGATATTATACTGTTTTTTTCGCAGAGCATAATCAGAAGTTAGAGGAAACTTTCCAAAGCTCCCATTGACAGCTCCACCTTCTTCAACTCTCGCTTTTGTTTGGGGGGGAGGCATATGAAAGCATGACACCCTTCTTTCCGAGTCTGCGTGCTCTCCAGTCTCTAAAAGAACGACCTGCAAGCACCTTAGCATCCCACGTCCATTGCAGCATCACAGGAGTGTTTCATTAGCTCCTGGATGATAGCGTATCAGTATTGGGTAACAGACTTATGATTTCTTGTCTTAAAAACCTGTCAAGTTTTTCGCGTTCTACTCTGAAGGAGTGAAGTGTGAGAGGGTGCGAAGAAACGTCTGCTAGCAAGGGGATGCAGGAAGCACCCGTATCGGACTGCTGATGCTGATGTTCCAGACTTGCTGATGAAATCAACCGTTTCTGACACTTACACAATCAAGGGGGGGGGGTGCTCATTGAGAGGCGCAAGGACCTGCTTATTTTAACTTCACTGTTGAGTCAACTGGTTCTTACACCATCGCTTACAGGCTTCCTATCTACGAATTATAATTGCGCGAATGGTTCATTTAAAGACAGCTCCCGCGATAAAAGTGTCAAGGATAATTGCTGATCAATTATGAAACAGTAGCTGATAAGTAATTCCTCAATGAAGGAAAAAGCAACAAGAGCCCTCAAGAACACCACAAACAAAATTGCTCCCTTACAGTTACACCGCCCTGCGGTCCGTGGGCAACCCCTGGCTCACAAATCGCTTTATGGCATTTCCCAGTAGTGGACAACATCCATTTCAAAGAAAAGAATATGAAAAACAACAAAGACACGAACGAAAAACACTTGAAAAAGGAAAAATCAAAAACCTGGTGTTGGGGTTACGTGCAGTGTGCAGCTTTTGGTGCATGTCGAGCTTTTGCACCACAGAAATTGCATCATTCGTGATTTTTACGCGTTTTACCTTACGAGATGGGTTGCAGTTGACTGTATGTGCTCCCAATGAATAAAATGTGATGAAGGAGAGCAGAATTATCCACGAGCGCGGTCAGCAAAAAGTACATGCAGTTCCGATTAATGCCCGCCGTCCCAACAAAGAACAACTGAGCGGCTCTCCGTCAGAGGGCAGCTAGCAAGTGGGCGGTCCAACTGGGCGGGCGTTAGAACTAGAACTTTGAGCGGCTGTAGCTCGCTCCTCGCTCACTGTGGAGTCGCGAGAGTGGGACAGTATCTAGCTTGGGGGCTGAACTACCTGCACAAGGAAGGACGACCATGTACTACTCTAGCGCGGGGGCTGCCTTTAAGAGACATGGACGCTCACCGGTCTTGCTTTTGTTTTATGACGAAGTCTGTAACGATTCTCCTAGAATGCGGATCCATTCCCGCTGTTGGCTCATCTAAAATCAGGAGTCTGGATCCTCCGATAAAAGCCATGGCCAAGCACAGTTTCCGTTTTTCACCACCAGACAGTTTCGAAGCTTTCTTAAAGCAAGAACGTACATAAAGTAGAAATGTGCGAAAGTTGCAATTCCAGTATCGAAAACAGTTAGATCTCACTAGATAACTTACCTTTTTCCGGAGCTGTTGCATGTCCAGAGATGAGCATAGCTCATTTGCATTTTC